ATTTGAACCCAGGTCCCCAGAACGTTACCTGGGTCTCTGGATTAACAGTTCAGTGATTAGTACCACTAGGCTATTGCCTCTCCTCAAGTACTTCTAATGCATTTATGAACCTTAAATAAGGAGACCAATTCCATACTCAAGTACCATCCTAAGCATATTCAAAGATGAAGCATCTATAACCCTCTGTAGAGAACTTCAATGACTCAATGGTTTGAGTGAAGCAATTTCTCTTAATCGCAGTCCTGAATGATCAGCTCCCATTCCTGAAACTGTGCCTCAGTGGTTCTTATGATCTGTGGAAGGTTTCAGAGTTAGAATCCATGAGAATTGATTTTTTTTTTCCCTTCTGGTTAAATGCCACACAATTACAAAACATTTGATAATGTGGCTTCAATCTGGGTAGTTAAGAGCATATTTAATGATGGTAGAGAAAAACTTTCCCCTTTTTTGAGTATTGAAAATTGATCTTTTGATTCAGGAATTACACACAGTCTTTATCTACTTCATTTCATCAATGTCTACAGGCCATTACAATATAGTACTTGCACAAAAATTTGATTGCAGAAAATAGATGCATTTACCCTTTCTCTTACAAAGTCGTGACTGAAGGAATAAGTTGTGTTACCTTTTAATGTGTATTCTAGTAATTATTTTCCTCTCGGTCAAGTGGGTGAATTTAATTTCAGTGCTAAGAATGCAATTTTATTCAGGGTATTTCATCAAATCAGCCTCAAGTTGAATACTTTATGGCATGTAATTGTAAAGTTTTGACCTGGGGATTATGTTAATGAATATGAGCATTGTACATAGGTGACCTAAACAAACATTGGCTGCACATTTCTGTCTATGTATGCTGAATTTCTCGAAGTTCATATAATTATCCCTCATTTTGCAAAAGAATGTTGGATTATACAATAATTCTCTGTCCTTAACTTTGTGACTTCCAGGCACTTTTTATTCATGGAAACACTGGAACACTCAGAAGCATTCTCTATTTTTCCATGATGTATTGCTGGAATGAGTCCATAATCACTAACAATCTAACCAGAAAGATTTAAATCACTCTCCTTCACCACAGCCCTCCCCAAAAATAAAACCTGCTGCCTTTTAGACTCCAAAATGCCAGGTATTGAAAAATAGAACTGAGACCAATATTTATACCTTTTAATGAACATTTATTTACAGAGATACCAGCAAGCACCTCTTAACCTAGCAACCACAGTTTCAGACTGTTTCTATTTGTAGGGGCTCAAATGAATCCTTAAATAATGTTCACCACCTGAATATAATTTAAAAACAATGGATTGGCTTACCATTAACAATGTCATTTTCACTTACCATGTATGTCTTAATGCAGGTTTTATATTTTGGACAATTTCAGATCATTCTAGGGGTAATTTCAGAAAGTCAGTTCTGCTGGTTGGTGAAACTTGCTACTGACAGCGCAGACCAGTCAAAGTTAACTGTTTTACTTCTCTAAAGCAAAACTGTTTTAGTTGCATCTTGTCTTGCTAAGATTTGTTGGCAAAGCCAAGCAACTCTTTGTTATATAACCAGCAAGAAAGTCATCAAACAGCAATTAAAGCAGTGAATTAAATGTCAAAGTTGCTATTTGTGCACTATATGGTACATGATTAAACTTGACCATTGATGACTTTTAGTCATTACATTTTACGTATTCATTGCACAACTAAGAATGATGGGCATTTAGAAAAGTAAATGTCTTATTTCAAAACATATCTTTGATTCAATTGACAAACATTTCTTGCTTAATAAACAGTGGTTCATATTAATATATTTATTTATTATATTAGTCCACATCTGCATTTTCAGCAGTGATCCCTGAACAGCATCTAAAAGCTGGATTTTATACCTTTGCCTCAGAGGAAGGGTAGTAGGCAGGGATGGACGTAAACTTGAATACCCTGACACTATGAAACTTAGCAGCTTTGTGGGGAAGCCTGCTTCCAAAATTAACCATGTGATTTAACTGGCCCCTCCCAAAACTTCACAGATCAATCTTCACAGGTAGTAGGAACTGCAGATGCTGGAGAATCCAAGACAACAAGGTGCAGGGCTGGATGAACACAGCAGGCCAAGCAGCATCATAGGAGCAGAGAGGCTGACGTTTCGGGCCTAGACCCTTCATCAGAAAAGGGGGAGGGGAAGGGGGTTCTGAAATAAATAGGGAGAG